TTATAGACATGCTGTTTTGTAACCGGAACGATTCTGAGATTGAAAGTCTGCCCTTCGTCTGGTACCCGTCCTGGGTATGACGATAAACTACGTCCAGCAGCAAGGCCTCTGATCAGGAGATTTTGAGGAGTGTGGAACCATCTCTTAATTGCTGGTGTTCCCAGTTCCACCCTGACCTGGGGTGGTAGCACCTGTTAGGGTCCAAGCTATGGGCAAATAGTTAAGTCCGAAACTGGGGCAAAAATGGCTTTTAATACCAGGAATACTTAAATTCTTATTAGCAATAAATTTTTGAAGAAAAAACTATTGCCAGCAATACATTTTTGAAAAAAAAAATTACCAGCAATACGTTTTTGAAAAACTATTACCAGCAATACATTTTTGGAAAAAAAAATATTACCAGCTACACATCTCTGAGGAGACAAAAATATTACCAGCAGTATTTTTTTGAAAAAAAATTATTACCAGCAATACATTTTTGAAGGAAATTTTTGACAAAACAAAATATTATCATTATTTACATTATTCGGACTATTACCCCCATCTTTGTCGCCATATTTATTACAACGTTTCGGCTGTTGTACGCTCTGGCCTTCTTCAGGTAGTTGGAATGTCGAACTAAACCCTTTATTTCGCTGACTGGGGTAAACTGTTCTAGTTCCATATGGATGTCAGTTATCAGTTATCTCCTGTTAATTTTCCCTCTGAAAGTTCTCCAATGCCTTAACCCGGTATTGAACTCACACTCTTTGGGTTCTGTCACTGGATCTAACCAACACCTTTATCCACTGTGCCATGAGGACATCTTGGTATGAATTTCTGGGTATTATAAACCTAATGTCCTCAGCAACCATTTTTACAAGTGCTCATATTGCAATTTTTGCTGTTATCATTTCATGTTTTTACCAGAGCTCATATTGCAACTTTGTTGTTATTATCTCTGGCACTCCTTATTACTGGTTCCCATATTGTATTAATTTCTATGCTTGGTCGGCTCAGGAGATTTTTGTGGCCTAGCATATGTGCTGATTCCTTAAGTTTACGAATTTTCCAATGGTGTTCCTTGACTATGATTTCAACATGATCCCACAGAGGGCGGTGATCTCCCTTCTCTCTCCATATGTGGTCAGCCACGCCTGATTTTTCCACTTCCCCTCGTATTACAGCTTTCTGGTGTTCTTGAAGCCTTACCTTGATGGGGCGGCCTATCTCTCCTTTATATTCCTTTCCGCAGCTGCATGGGATAACGTACACACAGTCTTTAGTCATGTTCTCCTCTATGGGGTGTCTTACTCGGGAGATATATCTGCAAAGTGTCGTCAAGTTTTTGAAGGTTGTCCTGATGCTATATAGACCGCAGATCCTTTGTACTTTCTCTGATAACCCCTTCACATAAGGCAGGCAGACTGTTTTCTGAGTGTTGTTGTCCTCCTCCTCTTGTACCCGCCTATCCCAGTTTTGGAAGGCTGCTGCCATGTACCCAGGGTAGTTGTTACGTTGTAGTGTACTACTTATACTGATCAATTCTTTATCTAATGTCTCTGGGTCGCCACATGACTTTGCTCGGTGTTGTAACCAGCGGACGATCCCTTTCTTTACGCTGTATGGATGATGGGATTTGAAATTGAGATACTGTCCGGTGAATATCGGTTTACGGTATACGGATGTCATAAACCCATGCTCTGTTCGAGATATTAGAACATCCAAGAATGGGAGTGTGTTGTTACTCTCTTTCTCCATTGTGAACTGTATCGAAGGTCTTATTGAGTTCACAAGGTCCAGTAAAACCTGAACCTCTTCCTGGTGTGGCCAGAGTATGAAGGTGTCATCTACGTACCTTAACCATATAGTTGGCTGGAGAGATATAGATTCTAATGCAATTTCCTCAAAGTATTCCATGTATATATTCGCCATTGCTGGTGATAATGGCGAACCCATTGCTAAGCCCTCATCCTTCGATATATGTGTGATCCCATTCCGAAGTGTGTTGTTCGTGTACAGAAAGTCAACATCTCCATCAGATTATCTATTGGAATACTGGTCCGTTCTTCTAGGGATGAATCAGAGGCCAATCTGTCTCTGACTACTGAGAGTGCCTCCTCCATGGGTACCTTGGTGAACAAACCACGTCCAAGCTCAAAATCTGATTGGATAGGATGGGAGCATCTTTGATTATTTCCACGAAGTCGGCGGAGCTTCGGACATATGAAGGAGACATTCCGATCAATGGGCCAATTATATCTACAAGGAAGCGACTCAGAGGGCGGCACACAGAACCTTGGCAACTAACAATCGGCCTGAGCGAAATACCGTCTTTGTGAATCTTAGGGAGACCGTATATGTGAGGTAGCTTGGTGTAACGCTGCGGTAACTGCCTATACGTCTTAGGTACGAAGTGATCCTTGTTCTTGATTAGTATCTGTGACAGTTTGCGTTCCGTTTTCATAGTAGGATCCATTTTACTTTGCTGTAGCTACCATTGCTAATGAGGTCTTCCAGT